AGGCGCACGCCTGATGGTCGTCAGCTTCAAGAAGCACCGTCATTCACGTCGTTTGTGCACCCAGCCACACACTACGTGATGGTCGCTTTGTGTCCCAATCAATTGACAGAAATGTTGATGTTTATAGAAATGTGTACTGCCTATTCTGATACGACTAGTACACCAATAACAGGTCCCTTCCGGGGTGAGCTGGTAGGAACTTTTGTATTGAATGCGAAGCGTTGATTTAACGGTATTGCGACGACGGCGCTTGCTGCAGTCTTCGCGCGCTTCTGCAATCGCACCTAACTGGAAAGTTGCGTAATTTTCGTTTAAGTACGCAGGCGCACTTTAGCGCGATTGTTTTACTTTAATCAACTATAACGTCCGGGGATGTGGCAGCACTTAACAGGGACTACAAAACCGCACTTTACTGGACAGGTTTCGCGCGATGCGATTGGCTTAGACCAATGAAACTGCGTTTCATTGGCCAAAATGGCTCGATATATAGCCAATGGGTTGGCCGGATTGTGACACGACACATCGAATTAATCCCCTGGGATGCTGGTACACCACGTAAACGTTCCTACCAGGATTAAATGCTTAAATATCGTCGTCGTCGTCCGGCAAAACCTCGTTCATCGCTGCTGCAATGTCGGCCTCGACGGCGGCCAGGAATCTCGCATCCACGACGAGGTCCGACATGTGGCAGCAGCAGGCGGGCGGGTCCATGAACTTCACATTGTCGTCCCCAACGAGCTTGCGCGCGAGCCAGAGCAGTGGCGTCTCGATGTTGTAGTTGGCCTTGACCGACATCTCGACATACGTGAGATTCTTCTCGCGCTGAAAAGTAATGTGCTTGGGCTTGACCTTGTGGCGCTCGACGTCGACCTTGTTACCGCAGAGCACGATCGGGATGTGTTCGCAGACGCGGCGAATGTCATGGTACCAGTTGGGCACGTTCCGGTACGAGAGGCGCGACGTGACGTCAAACAGGATGATCGCGCACTGGGCGTCGGCGTAGTGGTCGTCGTTCGAGCCCTGGCCGGCAAAGTCCCAGCAGTTGAATCGCACCGGGTCAACGTTCGTATCGAACTGGAGCGGGTGAACCTCGACGTCGAGCGTGGCGATGTAATTCTTCTCAAACTCGCCGGTCACATGGCGCTGCAGAAGTGTCGTTTTGGCGACGCCGGTATCGCCAACGACGAGCAGCTTGTAGCCTGGTATTTGCGCCAGTCTGCACATGCGTCTGGGAAATGTGAAATGATCGACTGTCGGTGTGGTCTATAATGACGGTCGCACTGACAAGTTGTTGCAGGATTGTGGTGGTGACGAGAATGTCGGTAATTATAACGACGTTTGATTGGCTGAAACAGCACACAATATCACGCCTGATTGGTTCAAATGGTGAATGCGGTGGTCGCGCCACCGACAACTTCGCGCCCGCTTGTCGGACAGACGCTCCATCCCACCCTATCGCCCATGACAACCAATGTTGGCTACATCCGAGGTGCAGCACGCTACGGAAGAAACACTGCCACCAAAAAGACTGACGGCTTGATGAAACGTAAAACCTGTCACATTTAGTACCATATTCGATTCCAGAGGTTTCCAGACGGTCATGGCCACTGAGGAGGCCAGCGACTGGGCCGAGGCTCGTGACGAAGGCTTCTTCGCCGTCGACAGCGCCGAGCACGCGCCGACCGATGCAACAAGCGACGTCGCCAGCTTCGATAGCGTCGACAGCAGCAGCGATACATCGGCGCTCCACGGCGCCTGCCCTGTCTGCCTCAAGCCGCTCGTCGATGGCGTCCTCGTCGCAGCCTGCCTACACGAGTTTTGCCGCGCGTGTATACTTCAGTGGGTCGACCACTTGCGTGACCGAGGTGCGCCCGTGCGATGCCCCATCTGCCGCACGCCATTCGCACAGCTCTATACGAATGTCGTGTCGGCCGAAGACTATGACGTGGAAGACCTTGCGACGACCGCGCCGTCCCCGCGCAGCTTAGCTCGACGACAGCGCGCCCTTGTCTATCGCCGAGCCTCGGTTTCTATCGATGACGCTCGCCGCATGCAGTGGCCTGTCATTTACAAGACGAACGACCAGGCCATGTCCTGGATACGACGCGAGCTCGGCGTAGTCCTTGGCGCGGCCACCGACACGAGCCTCCTGACGCAGATCATCGCATCCCAGCTTGTAGAGATTCGAATGGACGATGCAAGTCGAAAGCGCAAGCATGTGCAGCACGGATATGAGCGCCTTGTAGACGCACTGCATGGCTTTCTGGACGACGACGCTGCCACGTTTGTGGTCGAGCTCTCGAGGTACATGGCCAGCCGGCTCAACCTGGCGGCGTACGACGAACAAGCATTCTCGTTCGGTTGATGACAATAATAGAGGACAACAAACAACGTTACAGCGTATTTCAGGACGTGCCATGGCAACGTGGCGGGCGTGGGGCGGCCGCGCGACCGCCGCGCTTGCGTCAACGCTGGTCATCACATCGCTCGCGGTCCACGTCGCGCTGAGACTGGCACCGAGGTACACCTGCGCCAGAACATGGCAAGTATCCACCACATATTTGCTAGTTTGATACCTTGGGTCGAGACGTCGAATCACACGGTTGTTGCAGCACGGACACTTCAGCGCGCGTGGCGGCGGTACCGCGATCGAAGAGTGCACCAACTCGACTTATTACGCCTTCGCGACAACCGAGCACTGAAGAAACCACGCAGTCAACGCAAGGTTAAAGCCACGCGGCACTTGACCAAGAAGGAGGTGGCGTTCAAGCTCGAGCTCGAGCTCTGGGTGACGCAGGTGACGAGCCTTCTCAGGAAGCCGAAAAGCCCACCGTTTCTGCTGGAGTAGGTCCTACTGCAGCTACACCCGCGCACAGTCACCATTCCGCTGGCCTTTGTGCCCGAGTACCACGACCACTGTTTACGCGAGCTCGTAGTACAGCGGCGCAGGACACCAAATGTTGTTGTTGTCGACAATCGACGTAACATCGCGCCGCAGCACTCGGCCGCCCGCTTCAAAATACGGCGATGGCTGTGTCAGCGCTTGCGCCTGCGGTCACCGCGTCACCTGTTCAACATCGCCAAGGCTCGACTAGACTGCGCGGCGCGGCTCATTCAAGGCGCTGTCCGGTGCCGGTGGGCGATTCTTCTACTTGTCTGCACCGTCGTCAACCGAGGACGTAGGTTTGCCTATCTGCTCTTGGCGGCGAAAAGAAGGTACTTAGACGGCCTTGTGTTTTCCATGCACGTGCGCTGCCTCGGGCACAAGCATCGCGCAGCGCTGGTGCTGCAAGCCACGTGGCGCTACCACCAATCGGTATGCTTGCCAGGATGCCCTAAAGGCCAAAGTATTCCTTTTAGGTTCAATTTTGGCGCCACTACCTCTGCCTCTATCGCATCCGTCTCGTGTTGATGGCCGACGCGCACCGGCGACTCCGATACGAGCTGCACGAGCTGCCGTTTAGCGAGTGTGAACACCCCAAGTTGCTCGCACGATGGGTGCCGAGGACAAACCGACGTGCCCGCCGCCCCAGTCTCGTCGCAATCACAGCCTGAGACGTGGCAGAACGCGCTGCGATTCCGGATACTGTTACCCAATCAGTGATGTCTGATTCCACCAAACAAAGGATGCCGGAAGCGCTGATAATTCAAATTGAATGGAGGATTTTCACACACCAGAGTCCCAGCGACGGCGTTCCTAGGGCGGGTTCGTATGTCGAGCCGCCCCAAGGGTATAAATACCATCTCTCGTTCGTCGCGCTGCAGTATATTTTTGCGGTGGGCTAATTTAAGCCGTGTATCTTTAGCCGGGCCGCCATTGCGGAGCTAAAATGCCCACTGAGAAAGGCCAGCACTTCGGCTTTTCGTTGCTCCGTATCGAATCAAGAAGACCTCGTCCATGGTTGGGGTTCGCGCACTCGTCGTCGCCGCCGTGTTGGCGGCCACGAATGCGTCGCTGCGTCACGAGTCGACCAACCATTACATGGAGACGCGGTCGCTCGGCGAGATCAAGGCCCCGTCGATCAGCAACGATACGATGGACAAGGCGCGCAATGCGAGTGTCGACTTTCAAAAATTCCTCACCAACCTCCGCGGCGCGGGCGCCGCGGACTATTACAACAAGCTCTACAACGCGATCCAGATTGCACTTTGCGAATTCAACGTTGCGTCCGACAGCCACGATGCCAAGTCGGCCGAAGCCAACATGGTGTACACGGGCGCTGACGATAAGATCTTGCCGTATTTTCGGTACGAGCTCTCTCGACGTTTCGAGCAAGCGGGCTCACGGCGCGTAGGTTTGTGTCGGCGTCGAGCGACTATGCGCTCAAGGACAGCAACAGCAAGTGCATTCGCGTAGCCAACCCGCCCGCCAACGTCTTGAGTCAGTACAACGCTGGCATGTGCGAAGTCAAAGTCAACTGTTACTGGCGCGCGATCGATCCGACCGCCTTGACGGACCGCGTGCCCGTGTACTCGGTCAACCAAGCCGTGCAGCCACCGTCCGGTGCCATGACGTACGAAGCTGCAAAGGAGACGCTCACGACGTGGGTCAAGGGCTTTGGCGCGTGCATCATTCCGTCGGCGATTTTGCTCATTCTGAGCATCCTCACGATCCTTCTCTTCATTTTGTGCCGCTGCTGCTGCAACCGGTGCGGCGGCCGCAACGGCAAGCCTGGTGGCTACTCGTGCAGCGAGAAGGCGTTACCGATCGTGTTCTACCTCATGTTCTCCATTGCGATTGTCGTGCTCGCGGGCCTCGCCTATGTCTACTCGACGGTCATTACGACCTCTGTGAGCGTACGCCATCCATTCGCTATCCTGGCAAATCGCACTTGGTCTCACGTTTTCATCGTGATAGAACATTTTCACCATTGCTCTCGGGCTCATCACTCAAATCGTCGACTGGATCGCCAAGCTGCTGGCGCCTCTCGTGGACATTGCCGGCACGGTCGAGTCGTCCGCCTCCAGTGTACAAATATATTGTCGATCTCACATGACCGTCGCCAACTCCGATCTGGTTGTAGATTGATGCGCAGCTCGCGGGCTCGGCCTTTATCGGGGACGGTCTCAACGGCATTGTACTCCGACTCGGCGAGTTCGCCACCAACACCGCCGACGTTACGCTGCCGCGCGGTTGCACGGTCGGCACGGACCGGTTTTGCACCCCCTGCGATGCGTGCACGACGATTAGCCAGCAAGTGGGTACGGCGCGCGACCAAATGAACTCGGTGGCGGGCTCGGGCGTCTCGGGTAAGCTCTCTCCTGCTTCGTAATATTGTTTTCATATCGACATGTAGAGCTGGCGGACGCGCGCACGAACATTATGAAGCTTCTCGTGTCGGCCAGTGGCACGATTTCCAGCTTTGTCTCGGGCGTCACGACGACCAACACGCAGCTCCAAGCGCAGATCAACGACCAAAACAAGCTCATCTTGGACATCCAGTCGAGCTGGGACAGCAATGGCACGATCTCCCAAGCTGCGTTTCTCGCGCTTTTCGCGTTGGCGATTGTGACGATTGCGCTCGGCCTCCTCGGCGTCCTCTTTGGCTTGACGCCCCTCCGCGTGCTCGTGATCATCATGCACCTCGCGTACATTGTCGGGTTCATCGCGATCATCGTCACGTTCATCCTCTCGATCGTCTTTATCGCCTTCAGCCTCCTCCTCGTCGACGTCTGCAAGCTGCAAGCGATCGCGGCCGGCGACTGGACCACGGTCTTTGGCGACCAAGCGTCGGGCATGAACGCGTGCTTCCATGCCAACGAGTCGCTCATTGACGCGTTTAACCTCACGTCGAGCTTTGCCTTTGCCACCGACATTTCGTTCCCGACGCTCGATTTAAGCAAAATGCTCGACTTTTCCGCCTTCGACTCGTTCGCAACGAGTATCAACGGCGTTTCGACAAACACGTTCAAGTTGGACCCGACGTTCACAGGCCTCTTCCTCGATGCGCTCAACGGCAACTCGTCGATCCATGTGGGCGGGTGCCACGCGACCGGCGGCGCCTATACGCTCACCAACATCTTTACGCCATGGAGCGCCAACAGCGACACGCAGCCCAACGAGACGCCCGAACACTACATGACCACCAAGTATTCGCCGGCGACGGTACACTGACAGTGAGATGCAACAAGGTATCTGATCGAAACGACATGGGGTGTAGGTCGGCGCGTGTCCGGCGCCGCCAACCGGTACATGCGTCACGTCGAGCAACACGCCGTGCTTGTACCAAGACTACATTGTGCAGCTGTGGCAAAACGTATGTCCAACTGATCTCGACAGTGGCGAATGAAGGCTGGGGTTAGGTGACGACGCTCCAGACCATTGCGTTGCAGTCGACGCAGTTTGTTGCCGACATGAAGACAAACATGACCAACCTCCAGACGTACATTGGCACGTTCAAGACCAACGTCTCGACGCTCTCCGACACGATGAATGACATCTCGTCGTCACTCCAGAACACGCTCATCAAGGACGTCAACACGATCAAGAGCGAGGCGTACTGCACGTTTGTCGCGACGACGTACTTTGCGCTCACGGAGCAGCTCTGCGGCTACATGACGCCGTCGTTCCTTATGATCGCGCTCTTCCTCTTCCTCATGGGCGTCTTCCTCATCCCGATCAACATCACGCTCATCATCATGGTACACTCTTTTGTGCGTTCGAAAACCATCACGGGTTCGTAGGTCAAGCGGCTTCGGCACAAGCACGGCCACTCGCCCGTCGTCGCCGAGAACGATCTCAAGTAGGAACTTTAGATAAAGAAATCCAATTCATATTCGTTTTTACTTGAGTTTGGTTTCCGTCGGTGTCACCACGTGGGGCGACCGAAGCCGCTTGGTGAGAATGATGAGCGTCACGTTGATCGGGATCAAGAATAAGCCGAGCAGAAAGAGGCAGAGCGAGATCATGAGCAGCGCGGGCGTCACCGTACCTACGCAGGCTTGTCAAATGTACTTGACTGTTGACATACCGCAGAGGGCGACGTAAAAGCGGTTGTAGTCGTGCGCCACGAACGTGCAGTTCATGGTCGTCTCGAACGCACGCACGTCGCGAACGAGCGAGGCTTGCAGATCGCTTCCAATCTCGTTGAGCGTCGAGCTCAAGTTGGTCACTTGGCCCTACCCGCTGACTTGAGTATATAGAGGTGTTGGGCATCGTAGGACCGAGAAGGTACTCGTGGCGTTCTCCAGCGCCAGCATCGACACGTGCATGTCGTCGACAAACGTCTTGGCGTCGGCAGTCACCCGAATGAGCGCACTCATCTACGTGTTGGGATGTAGTATATGCAACATCACATAACAGGTCGTACGTTGGAGACGATCTCGACAAGGAAGCTGTCGTACGGACACAGCGTGTTGTGGCCGCAGACGGGGTGCAGGACGCCAGCGCACGGGTTGCGGTACGGAAGGTACATGGAGGCCACATCCTGGACGGGGTTGGTGAGCGCAGCGCTACCACGCAAGAGCCACGGCGTCGTTGGATTTTGCAGCGCAAAGTTGCCGTCATTGACGGTGCACGACGCGGCGACCGCGGCAGATTGCGTCGACGTAATGTAGCTCTGACTCGTAAAGTCGTTGAGGACCGAGAGGAACGTCGGCAGCAGCGCCGGGTCGACTTGAAACGTGCTCGTGTTGGTCTACGTTGTCGCGTGAGACACTGGATACATCGATACAAACCAAACCGACCGCCAAAATCGTGTCAGCAAAAGCGCTGAGGGACGTAAATTGGAGCATGGACGAGAGATTCAACGACGGAATCGTAATGTTGTTGGCGAACGCGAGACTCGACTGCATGTCCGTGGCATCGATGAGCGACTGGTTCCGGAAGCACGCGTTGAAGCCGCGGCCCGACGACTGCCCGAGGATCGGCGTCCAGTCTTGGGCGAGAAGCAATGTGAGCTGGCACACGTCGCCCATGAGGATGCTCACTGCGATAAAGATGGCCGAGATAATAAACGTGAGCAGAAGCGTGATAAACCCTACACACCGACTGCATCGTCCCACGTCGCGACCGAAACGGACGTACCCAAGAGGTACGCGATGTGGAGGATGATGGCGAGGCACCGGAGCGGTGTCAGCCCAAAGCAGATGCCAAGGACACCGACTGCAATCACGACAATCGCAAATACAAAGAGCACGAGGATCCCGGCTTGGCGTGCGAGCGACTGGTTCTGCCACGTCGTCGAGTACGAATCGACTTGCAGCGTTGCGTTGCCGGCCATATCGGAGAGCAAGACGACGCCAACGACAACGTTGTTGACTGTGCTCTTGATCGTGTCCTTGGAGTTGACGAGCATCGAGAGCAGCGACGACCTAGACCAATACTGTCCTGGCATGAACGGTACTGGTGGCTGTACCGCGTGCTCTGAAGCGTCGTAATGCCTGCACCGGCCGCCGACTGCATTTGGTTCACCGCGTCCGACACTTGGACGTTGATGGACGTACACACATCGCATGGAATACAAATAAGATCGGAGCCGACAACGCAGCCATGGGGGAGCACCACGTTGTACGTTTGGTTCTCAAATCTACAGCAAAGTCGCCGAATAAGATTGAGAGGTCGAGCGTACGTACGCTTCAAGCTGCTGCACGAGGCCGTTGAGGCCATTCGCAATGAAATCCGAGTTGTTGAGTTTCACGCTGATGGCGTCGGCCGACGTCACGACCGTGTCCCGAAGGTGCACGAGCGGTGCTGCGACCGCGTGCACCCACGACACAAGCCCCGAGATCGTCGTCAGCGTTGTCGTAAAGAGCGACCCAATTTCGCTCGTAATGACGTTGTAGTAGAGCAAACTCGCGATCGCGACGCCAGCAATCGCACCGGCAAAGAGGAGGAAGAACCCGATCGGAAGGCCGCGCTCCATGCGCGAGTAGCCCGCCGGCTTGGCGTTGCGGCCGCCGCATCGGTTGCAGCAGCAGCGACAGAGGAGAAAGAGGAGGCAGCATAGAAAGCAGAGGACGCCAAGGATGATCGGCGGCGCGACAAAGTACGCGGTGCTCTGGGCCCATTTCTGAAGCGTCGCGGTCGCTTGCGGTAGCGTCATGGCGCCACTCGGCGGTGACGCGGCCTGGTTGGTCGCGTACACTGGCACGCGGTCCGGCGAGTCGGCAAACTGCAGTGGCGACCAGTAGCAGTTGGCAATCACTTCGCAGTAGCCGCGCTGGTACTGGGCGGCGACGGCGGCCGGCGGCGACGCAAGACGAAGACAATCTCCGTTCTTATCGACGAGCGCGTTCGGGTGCGAGCTGGCGACGAAGCGATAATACGGCGGCACGGCCATGTCGCTGTGCATGTTGCTCGGCCACGTCGCGAGCGGCTCGTCGCCGGGGGCGTGGCGGTCCGTGTTGGAGAGGTAGTCGCAGTACGTGATCTGCAGCGCCGTGTAGAGCGAGGTGTAAAAGGCGTGGTCGCCGCCGCGGAGCTTGGTGATGGTGCTGAGCACGTTGTGGCCGACGTCCATGGCCGCCGACGCGCTTGCATTGTTGACGAACGGCATGTCATTACTGTCGGCGAGCGACCGCGGGTGCAAGGCAGCGGCGACCGTCGCGGCGAGCAGCACGAGGCGCATGCGTCCAGCAACCAAAGCTAAAGTGACTGAGGCGTTGCGGCTTCTCTGGAAACGGACGGCGAGGGGTCTCCGCCCAGCGCATCGCCGTTTTGCACTGGCCGACGTTGGCGCCTCGTCGAGAAGAAGAGCCGAATGATGACTTGGTTGTCAAATGACAGATCGAGCGGCGGGCGGAGAACACATCAACCTTGGACGTATCGGGATCCAGGCCACCATCCTGCACGACGATGTGTCCTGCGAGTTGTTGACACATTGATGCACTAGACTTCTACTACAGTACACTAGCTAGGACACTTATGTGCTAGAGTCCAAAGAAAGGGCTAGGGTTACGCCACGTGACAACGACTATTGTCCCTCTCGTTCGTATTTTAGTTGCAAAAAGCGGTGTGCCCCGGCCCTCGCGAGGCTCGTCGCAGTCACAGTGGAGACGATCGCAACGGTGTACGTTGATGGACGGACTCTGGTGGGCGCCGCGGCCTGTATCCTGTCCGCCTGAAACCTTGAAACTCCTCATCTTCCCTCGATACGAAGCCGCTGGAAGCTCGACCCTTGATTCCGCCTCTCCATCGAGCGGTGCGTACAGTGTATTCGGCAGTTTGTACCAGTACCTAGTATCATGCCAGTCCATATACCGTACGCTACCAAGCGCCATCAACTTAGAAGTTCAAGCTTGGGTGGGTGCGCTCTGCAGGTGTCGTTCGTGGCGACCAGCGACATTCGCACTGTGGACGACGCGTCACGGGCCGTCATCGCCATTAGCTCGGCAAAGATCGACAACGTTCCACGAACGCCGCCGGCGCGAGCCCGCGTTGAAGTGGCTCCCGTCACCTTGCTGCTCGACCAAGGCAAGCGTCTCCTCTCGTAGCTGCGAAAAGACACACGGCCGACGCCGCAATGTCGTATGCACGGGACCCTCATGGTGTCATAACGAGGCTGTCGGAGTGGCTCATCCCCACCGTGCTTGTGCCAAGTACTATCTGTCGATCCGGTAAGCACTGCAAAGCCAACCGCGTCTTGAGATCGCGCTACATGCCGACGCCGCCTGGAGGCGTAACGAGTGTGACGCCAGCGACGCTGTGTGGACCAACCAATCAACCACCGTCGAGTGCGCGTGCGGATGATGGAGCGCCGACGACAAGAGTAAATGGATAGATGCGAGATAGGGCCAGATCGATCGCGCTCGTGGCACCTGCATCTCTCGTAGCGCCTTCCCAATCTTAGCCCTTGGCAGCCTTGCTTGGTGTCTCGTGCATAGCTTTCTCAGCTTGCTACGCTGGCTGTTCCTGCGCGGATGAGCATTGCAGGTGGACAGGCCGTCGAACGCTTTCGATCCCACTGACCACATGGAAGATCGGGTTGTCCGGATACACACATTGCCCTTTTGTATGGTCGTCCGGATAACGGCGGCGTCGCCAGCGTGGCACGCAGCGCTTAATTGCGTCGGGTTTATGTTGTCTTGGTGTTTGTATGGAGAGACACGAAACCATAAAAAGCGCAGCATTTCCGAGTCGACGCCCGCCGTGGGAGCAAGAGAAGGAGGTGCGAGCTGGTCGAATCGACTACGGGACCAATAAGTTCTCAGTTGTCTAGGCCGGCGAGACGCCCCGCTCCACAACGACTCCCTCTGTCCCCAAACCTGCCACCTCTGTCTTTGACGTCTTTCGGCGAGGCAGCCGTGACCACATGAAGACCGTCGTGCTCGCAAGTGAGAACCCAGCCAAGCCGCTCAGCGGGAAGCGTGAGAACCACCTCCGCGCACTGAAAGAGACGCTACGCAGCCGCGCCGTCCGCCTCTTTGACGAGTCGCGCGAACGCAAGACGTCGTCGGCGTCGTCGAGCTCGAGCTTCTCGCTCGTGTCGTCGCCCGCGGGGAATGTCGCGCTCGCCGTCAAGGTCTTTTCGCCGCGCGCCAAGCTTCGGTCGTTTGATGTCGACGACGACAGCGACGACGACCAAGAATTGCGCGAGCCAAATGCGTTGGTGCGCCTGCGGGACGTACACATGGACCCGCGCCGCCTCCTCTCGGGTCGCCACGGCAGCGCGATCGTCCGGGCCGTCATCCGCGCCAACATGATCGACTGTCTCTCGTGCAAGTGGGCGCCGTCGTACTTTAGCTACGTGGCGTACGGCGTGCAGCGCAAGCAGCTCACAGGTACATCCTCGTCGTCGGCCTCGCGTCAAGTTGTGTGATTAGCGCTCGAAGCCCACTCGTTGCGGTGGCTCATTTGTCAATACATTATTCGCGAAGCCAAGCAGCGTTCGGACGCCCAAGCCGTACTGCGCGACCAGCTCGGGCGGAAGCTGACCGAGTTTCGCATCGCTGTCCAGTGCGTCTCGGGCCTCAACGTAGTCAAGTACGGCCGGAAAGGGTCGCCGCACGCCACGCAGCTCATTGTTGAGAACGCTGACACGATCCGGTGGACGCCCAAGCTCGGCATGCAGCTCCAGAACGTGCTGCACCCGCTCACAAAGAAGAAGGAGAAGAGCATTTCGCTCTCGACAGTCATTGCCGTGCAGACTGGCTTTGCGTCCGAGGTGCTCCGCAAAGCTGCTGCCAAGGCCGACAAGAAGGCAACGCCGTTGGACCCGCGCTGCTGCCTCTCGCTCATTACGCCGACACGGTCGCTCGACCTGGTTGTGCGCAACCCGCTCGAGTGCGACTGGTACAAGAATGGACGATACGATCGTAGGTAGCTCATATCGTCTAGGCTGCGGCGGAGCTTTGATCTCATGGTCGCCCAAGCTTACGAGAATGAAAAGAAGGCGGCGGCGCACGTCGAGACGCTCATCATGAAGAAGCTCGGCTCGTTGGTCGTGGCCAAGTACGGCCGCAAGGGCAAGCCGCACAAGACACAGCTGAGCCTCGACAAGTACGGCGAGGTGACGTGGAAGGGCAAGAGCGGCGGCTCAATCCTCCTCCAAGAGGTATGCTTCTTGTCGACCACAAGATATGCACCAATGGGCACTAGGTCAAGGAGCTCCGGCTCGGGCATGGCACCCCGGTCTTTCTGCGGTTGGCGCCAAAGTCGAATGCCAAGCACTGCGTCTCGCTCGTTACGGCGGCGCGGACGCTCGACCTCGAAATGAGTTGTGAGAGCGAACGCGACTACGTCGTCCTCGCCTTCCGGTACACTTGGGTGGACATGGCCGTGGAGCTAATATTGTCTTGTGCAGCTATTTATTAAACAAGATGAAGGACCGCGCACGCGAAGCGAAGCGCATGAAGGCCGAGCGCGGCGTGCGAATGCTCCAAGAGGCGTACCAGTACCACGCAAGACGCATGGGCCAGCTCTCGCAGGCTGTGCCGCAAAACTACGACCTCGAACGGTACCCCGGGGCGTCGCCCGATACGAGCCCGATGGCCCTCGAACGCTACTCGGACCCGACCTACGACCGGTACCCCGGGCCACTCCACCCCACGTCGCCAGTCGTGGAGCGCGTGTCCGACCGCTACACGGGCCATTCCGGGTACGCGCTCGAGCGACCACCGCAGGCGCGGCTGCCACGCGCAAGCAATGGCTTTCCCGCGACCGTCTCCAAGCCGGTGCACTTGTAGTAATCGTTGTACAGAGCACGCTCTATTGTGTTGTCTGTGGCTATTGTTGTGGGTGGTGGTAGAGCGAGTAGACGCTCTGCGTCGTCTTGAGCTCTTCTTCGTACTTCATGCGCTCTTGGCTGCGGATCCACTCCATGCGCGTCGTGTTGATGGCGCGGAGACCCTACCCCTCTTATCAGTTGCGCATCGGTGTCGTTAGCTACCGTGTAGTGGAGGTCTTCCAGCACGTCGAGCTGGGCCATGCTGCAGGTTGCCAAGTACGCGTCTTGGCCCGGCACAAGACCCATTGGGTGCAGCGCGACCTGCTCGGCCATGGGCTCCTGCACATACAAGCGTGTCTGCAGCTCGTCGATCGTCGGGCGCGGAGTTGCGTCCTCCGGCGTCGTCGACGGCGTCGTCGCCAAGAGCCCGACGGACGCCGCTTGCGCCTGTGCGAACGCGTTGTGCTTCATCTCGGAGCGCATGAGAATGTGTCCGCAGCGCACACATCTACAGCGCCACACACCAAATGATGTAAAATCTCGATAATAAATAGCGTACGCAAACGTGGGCGCGGGGACGCAGAGGTGGCAGTAGAGCTGCGTGCAGGCCGTGCATTGCACGTTCTCCGAGACGAGATCGGCGCAAAAGCCGCACGCAAGCATGCCAAGTGCGTCCCGTACGTGAACCGGTAGTGGGTCGAGCCATGAGAGTTTGGGCTTGGTTACACCACGAGACACGGGCTGTCGACGGTACGACCGTGCCTCGGACGAACTAAAGCGTCCCCACTACATGCCGCGTGAGTACTTGGTCCAATAGATGAGGTGTTACCATGGGTCGAGGACGAAGAAACGGCGATGGCGTGTAGCTCGGCTGGAAGAGCTGGCTCACGGGCGACAGGGTGCTTACGTGATCACTCGTGGAGAAGGGCGTGGGGGCCGTCTCAGGCGACGACGGCGTCGCGTCGAGCGAGGGCAAGCGCATGAGAAAATCCGGTGTCCCATCGTCTTCCGACTCGCTCTCGACCATCGGTGGACTCTGGAGGAGCGTGCTATCACGTGCAGGTGGGAAGTCGTTGGTGGGGTCCTTGTGGCTGGCTGGCGCTGCCACCGGTGATTCTGGTGCGATGGTCTCGTGTCCGACAACTTCTGGTACGACGACTTCTGGTACGTCGGCTTCTGGCACGACTGCTTCCGAGACGACAGCTTCTAGAGCATCGGGCGCATCGATGGCGGTCGTTGGTGGTTCCAGCGTATGTGCCACGACAGCAGTCTTCATGGGAGTTGGCGCAACCTCTTTCATCGGACGTTTGGGGGTCGTTGGCTTGGCCTGCGCCTTGGTGGCCGTCGCGAGCTTTGGGGCCGTTGGTGACGCGTCGCCGTCCTTTTTCTTGTCGGTCTTGGCGCTTGGCGCAGGCTTGCGACTCACGGTCGTCCACGCCATCGCGTTCTCATCGTCCGTCTCGCACGGTTTCCTAGCATACCACTACGTGTGCATTGTGCAGTATGGAAGGAAGTACGTGGCAGGCGTCGGCGACGGTGCGGGAGTGTCCATCGTCGCATCTTCGTCGTCGTCCGAGTCCGGACCGTCGATCGCCAACGTCACTGCGCTCTTGGCTCGGGTCTTTTTCTGGGCAGCTTTTTTCGCCTTCTTTTTCTTTTTGTTGGCGCTCGCTTTCTTTGGGGTCGTCGTCGCTTGGCTGTCTTCCATCTCGAGCATTGTCATCATGCGGGCTTTGGCCTCCTCTTCAAGCACAAGCCAGCGCGACTGGAGGTACTCGACACAGCGCTCGCTGCCGTTGCACCCCGTGAGCTCGGCCTCCTATTAGAATCATCGCATGCATCTACACGGCATGCCATACCTCGAGCGGCGTTTGCCCAATCGCATTCCGAATCGTAATGTCGGCGCCGTGCGCCAAGAGCTTTTGGACGCACTGCAGGTAGCCGCAGGACGCGGCCAAGTGCATCGCGGTCGTCCCATCGCGGTCCTGGGCGTTGACCATCTCGGGGCACCTAGCGTGCCAGGTAGAAACACTCCTTACTGATCAGTTGAAGACGCACGCCTGGAGCAGCATGGCCACAATGTTCTTGCGGCACGCATCGATGCCCTCGGTCGCATCGTCGCCCAGCATCGTCGCGCACATGAGCGTCGTCGCATCAAAGTGGTTCTTCACGCGCGGATCAGCGCCATGGTCGAGCAAGATGCGGACGGCTTCGTCCCGGCCTTCGATGCAGGCCCACACCAGCGGCGTGTCTACCGTATCCATGCATCCTAGGACCATATTGGTACGAGAGTCTACCTGCGTTCACATTCCAAAAGTCAATCTGCTTGGTATGGTTGCACATCTCTTCCACGATGACCGGGTCGCCATTCTACATGTATGTGAGGGTCGAGGTCGGAAGGAGGGGCGACCTTGGCTGCAAAATGGAGCGCTGCGCTCTTGAGCTCAAACGTCCGCAGGTTGGCATCCGCGCCGAGCCGAAGCAGCTCCAGAACAACCTCGGAGTTGCCCTCCGCTGCATCATGGTTGAGATCCGAGACGTAGAGATGGAGGAGGGTTCTTGTTGTCTACCTGCGGCGATCATGAGCGCCGAGAAGCCGTCAACGTCGACCGAGTTGAGGAGCTCGCCGCTCGGGTCGGTCATGAGGAGGATGCGAAGCGTCTCGACGTTGCCTTCCGCTACTCATGTCATCATATTTGGTACCCATGGCATGCTTCTTCGTCGTCTACCTGCGCACTCGAAGAAGGACCGCGCGATGCCATCCGAGTCGATCTGCAGCTCGAGCTCAATGTTCATCTCGTCCAGCGTCATCTCCATGTGGGTCGTCGTGCTCAAGGTCACCTCGTCCGGCGCGTCGTCGTCCTGCGCGAGCGGGTCATGGACGCTGATCTCGACGCGACGCCGTGCCATCTCGGTCGGCAAAATGGCAGCGAGTCGCCAGTACGGATAATACTGCGTTATCCGGATACCACAGGCTTGGCGCCATTTTGAACCAGCACACCAATACCGCCTTGGTCATTGGTGTTGCAACTCACGAGCTTAATGTGGCTGCGGGCCTCGCTCCCTCAAGGAAGCCACAAGCCTCTATCTGCGTTACCCCTACGCCAGCCCCTACGCCTGCCACTCGCCTGCACCGCTTGATGAACTCTCGACGCCAAACAAGATCTTACTTTGCATCATTATTAACGTACATGGGAATCGAACCCAGCGACGCTGAAAGTGCTAGAATGCACTTAGCCACCGCAGCCGCCACAGCCACCACAGCCGCCGCCGCCGCCACAGCCCGTCGAGCAGCCGCCAGCGGCACAACCACCGACGCCGCAGCCACCCGACGCACAGCCACCGTCGCCCGCAAATGTGCCACAGCCGCCGTCCGCACCGTACGCAGCGCCCGAGATGCCGCAGCCGCCGCCGACGCCGTAGTAGCCAAAGCCACCACAGCCGCCCACGTACATGTAGGGCATGTAGTAGTACGGCAGTCCAGCGTCGTACATGAGGACCGTGTGGCGCGAGTACGGCTGGCGCACGCGACCGTCCATGACCGGCGTGCCAATCACCGTGACGTAGACGGGCAGCGGCGCGTCGGCCTCGGGCTTGGTCGCGTTGGCGTCATTGACGGCGACCGCATACGGCATGGC